AAACGCATGTGGGTATAGGTCTACAGTGATATTCACAAACAATATTCAGTGACGAGTGTAACATGTTGTCAGTCATAAATATCGTGTAATTGCACAACATCGAGACGTAAATAGTGCTTATGTAAGACGTGGCAATGAAACTACTATGATTTTAATTTATGCTTATTCACATTTATTATCAGAATTTTAACATTTCACAATTAATTTTAATAATTGTGTTTATGAGGCGCACATTTAAATTAAAGAGTGATATTTATTAAAATATTCAAATGTTGTATCGAAAATTTTCATTAAATTATTAATCATTACAAGAATATTAGAGAAGGTATTGAATATTTTAGATGCAATTGAATATTTTCTGGAACAGTGGATTTCTCCCCGTAAAACTAGCATTTTTGGATTTTTCTCGACAAAATCTACAGGATTATGTAGAAGGAACTTAAAAATTGTAGGTCCGTCAAAGTAAAGTGCAGCCATGAATTGTGTATGCTAAGGCAATGCAACTTTCGGAATAGTATGCAATGGTAATTCATTAGGATCAGTTTTATTTTTAGTGGACGCGCAAATTAAACCTTTATTTATAAATTGCCGTGTTTTTTCGACATTTTTGGAAACCAGTAATACTGATACAATTTATTTAAAGTTGTTTCATACCGAACATGCATTAAGGAAACATGTATTATATATGATTCATTAGTGATTTGGAAGCCAAATATTTCGTTTATTACATTGCACTTTGCGATATAAAATACTGTTTCGTGTGTCATATATGTTGAGACAGAACCTTCCTCGTCCACCGAATTCATCATTTGTGATGCCTGCGTCTTCAATATAGACGCGCTGATGCGTGGAAAGTTGCGTTGCACGCTTCCATCCAAGTAAATTGGCTGTTAGGAGTAACATGCTACGCAACGTACACATAGAATTAATACCTCGAAAGTTAACTTTTGATTTTGTTTTTCGCTAGAGGATAACGACATTCATATTGAATAAAACGCTAATTGATTTATTTACTTCGGTTCATTTGAACGGTAGAAATCTCAACCAGCGGCCAATGTGTTCATTGCAGCGTCACGATCAACGGACTGTAACATTAATATTTTTCGACAAATCTTTCCATAAAAATTTATACATCATACTAAAATAATACTAGAGACGTGGGTAAAATTTCAAATTAAAATCTTGCATACTTTATGAGAAAAAAAATGATAAAAATGCCACATTTTTGCGCGGAAGTAGGAATTCCCCATTTAATATAATTATTGTTATATGGTGAAAATCAAGATTTCCAAAAACATGTATCCTTAATTATAACCTGTAGTTTACACGTGTCAATTTTCATGAATGAGAAACAATATTTAGTAACATAAATTAACAAAAAAAAAAACATTTTTTCAAAGATAAATTGTTTAAACAAAGAAATAAACAATTTCTTCTGGCATACATAAACCACTCATTCAAAAGCACATAATTTAAAAAAAAAATTTTGTCCTAGCTTCTATAGTTTTCTAGATATTTAAAAAAACATGGTTTTCACCCCAACTTTAGGGGTTGTTTTCAACCCTTCAACATGGACGATTGCCGTTAAAAAAAAAATACGTGTCAAATATTTTTTTGAGAACTACCTACCACATAAATTTGATCAAAATCGGAATGTGACAGTTGGATATGTTCCCTTGTTAGTTCGGCTTAAAACTAAAAGAAAATGTTAGAGAACAAAGTTGTACTGTTCAAGGAAGCAAATATGAGAATGTAAAGAAATTTGCCGTATTCTGTCGTTTTCAAGGTTTTTCGAAGGTAATTTTTGGATTGCACCCTATATTTTCAATATCATAAGATTGTAGTTGACGTCAAGACGAGTACAACGATGTTACGCTATGACCTTCAAATGATCTTGAACTAAAGAATAGGTTCTATTCCGTTTGGTCCGTTACCACGCGTATACTGTTCATGGAATGCGACTTCAAAGCTTACATAAACATGTTTGTGTTTGTACAGACGAATAGCATCTCGAAGATTCGTTGACAAACGTGTTTATGTATGCTTTGAAGTCACATTCCATTAATAGTATACGTGTACTGAGAGACCAGACAGAATAGAGCCTATTTCTTAATTCAAGGTCATTTGAAGGTTATAGTGTGTCACATCGTTGTACTCATCCTGACGTCAGCTACAATCTCATGATATTGAATCTATAGGGTGCAATCTAAAAATTACCGGTGACCTTCGAAAAACCATGAAAACAACAAAATACGGCAAATTTGTTTATATTCTCATATTTGCTTCCTTAAACAGTACAACTTTGTTCTCTAACATTTTCTTATGTTTTTAAGCCGAACTGAGATAATTACGTGTTCTGTTTCTCGTGAATCACCCAGTATGTATATGTATAGTAATGTATATGTATATAGAATATACATATAGCTGTATACATATATACTATTATATATATACAGGGTGTCCCAAAACTCGGGGAGGAGCCGGAAATGGGGGGTAGCTGAGATGATTCTGAACAACAATTTCCTTTGCAAAAATGTCGGATGGGGCTTCGTTAAGGAGATATTAAGCGAAAACCCCGACCAATCAGAGCGCGCGTAGACCGTTGGAGCGGCCGCGGTAGCGTAGGCTACGCGCTGGTGGCCGCGCTTGCACACGAACAAGTGACTCGACGTGCATCGAAACATCGACCTAGCGCGTAGCCTTCGCTACCGCGGCCGCTCCAACGGTCTACGCGCGCTCTGATTGGTCGGGGTTTTCGCTTAATATCTCCTTAACGAAGCCCCATCCGACATTTTTGCAAAGGAAATTGTTGTTCAGAATCGTCTCAGCTACCCCCCATTTCCGGCTTCTCCCCGAGTTTTTGGACACCCTGTATATTTGGTTGCGCTGGGTCTGGGTTTGGCTGAGGTCGAATGGCCTCTGGGAGATCCCAATCGCGTTGATTGTCAACACCAGACGTATATCTTAAATCCTGGACGACGGCTTGTGCCAATATCCTGGGTGCCGGAAGAGCCATGTATTGCTAATGTGTATTATGGTCAACACGTCCAAAATCACCGGTGGCGTTCGGCCAAACCGGGATTTCGAGCCGATGATGTTTCCCATCAACCTCAAAATCACCAATGCGCCGCAGATATGCATCTATCGCTGGTGCTGTCGAGTAGTTCTTGTCTTTCAGATAGTTCAAAAGACTTTGCTCTTCGGGGTCAAAGTAACCTCTCAAAGTGCGGATCTGCGCGTACCGGGCATACAAATGCATACACATCACGTACCTATAACAAGAGCGCGACACTACTGTTGCAAACCGTTTATCGGTAGCAGCTCTGAGGTCGTACTCATTGTCTACGAGTGGGATAAAAGACTCGTTTGTTACCGTAAATGAGCGACATGCTCGCAATTCGTTATAACCGGCAAAATCATCGCAGTCGAATTCGATATTCGTTGGGTCATTGCTTAAAGGACTAGGCTTTCGCTTAGGCAAGGGGGAAGCCACTACCGGACGTAGACCAGTCGTTTTCGGTGCATTCTTGCGCTGAAATGGTCCCTTCGGCTTTTGGAACTTTGGTTCCTTTGAAACGGTGTCTTCGGTTTCACTTGCTTCCTCATGATGGTTTTTTTGCTTTGTTTGGACATTGTAGTCGTTTTGTTGCGTACTTGCTAGATTCCACAAGGTATATTTTGGGCGTCATATATGTTTGTTTTAATTCAGACGAACCGTAATTACCTCGAATATCTGATATTATTTTCATAATTTCCGGATCACTCTTTCGTTCAGTAACTAAACAATCTTTCGAAAAGGAAACAAAATTTACTGTTTTATACGGTACACTATTCGAACCTTGTATTTTTGTGCATTTGATTGGGAGACAAATAATCTAGACAAATAATCTACATGCATCATGCTTCTACCCGGCCTATGGTTTATATCAAAGTCAAATTGTTGTAAGAAAGCTCGCCATCTATATTTCCGATCAGTGAGATCTTTCTTATTTATTCGAAGCTTTCAACGAATTACAATCAGTGATTATTTTAAATGGTCGTCCATACAAAAAGGATTTAAAATGTTTAATAGTTTTCGACCACGAACCTTGGCTTCGATGTGAAATATAATACAGGTGTCCCAAAAATATTGGAGGTCCTTGAAAGGGGTGGTACAAGGGAGGTGGATTGATTTGAAGTAACTTTTTTCTTAGCGAAAATGTTGTCCGAGGCTTCGTTAAGGAGTTATTAACAGACAACCTCGGACCAATCAGAGCGAGAGGATGCCGGCGGACCGCCCGCAGTAGGTGTAGGCTACGCGCTAGGCGACCGCCCTCCGCCGGCGTACTCGCGCTCTGATTGGTCCGGGGTTTTCCGTTAATATCTCCTTAACGAAGCCTCGGACAACATTTTCGCTAAGGAAAAAGTTGTTTCAAATCACCCTCCGAACCACCCCTTTCAAGGTGTTGCAACATTTTTGGGACACCCCGTATGTGTCATATATGTATGATAATATATACACATATGACACACACATATATATCGTAGTCTGTGCTCACTTGCGCCGCGAGTGGTAGAAATATTCATAACATTTCTACACTACACAGTTAGGACTCCTTATACACTCTTCATGGATAGAGCTCAATGTTCAAATGTTGGGAATATGGCTGTTGATTAACCATAGATCGGTGCCAACTTCACCGAATAGGAATAGTGACTCGGCAAATGAATAAACACAGAAACGATTAACATTTAACTGTAATAATAACAAAACTAGATAACAAGTGTTTCGACGAAACGCTTCGACACCACGCAACGGAATCAATGCCGAATGGCCGTCGTCCCTACTCCACGCAACCAACAAACGCGTTCAAACACGCGCATGCGCAGAGCGGTACGCCTTAAGGCGAATCCCCAGACAAAAGTAGCAGCTCGCGCCGTCTTTAAACGTGGCAGGCACTCACGAAACCTTGATCAGCCTATTTCCGCGGCGGTCCGCTTTTTGTGGACGTCGCTGTATCAGCCCGGAGGGAGACAGTCAGAGCAGATATAGTACTAGAAGGAAAGCCGAAGCGCGGGCGCACTTGGTGAAATCAGTCGTTCGCAGTCAACGCGAGTGTGACGGCGGTGTGTGGTGGCGTCGCGACGCCGGCGCAGTCACGTCGATCGATTCCAACGATTATTTCTCTCTCTCCCTCTCTCCCTCTCTCTCGCCCCTAACGGGTCGACGGAAACCAGAGTCGAGCAGAAACGACAGAAACGAACGAGTAGAAAGAAGAAGCCCGTGGATCCGACGAGGAGGTGCATAGACACTTAGGGTAGCGGATAGAATGAGAGGGTGAAACTCGCCGTAGGTGTATCACCCAAGAGCGAGGGAGACAGACGAAGGGAGGAATCGGGCGGGGGTGTCGTGTGCGCGCGTGTCTTTCGACGGACACTACGCGTACAACGGAACGTGCAGGATACGCGCGAGGTGACAGATCACCAAGGAAGGTTTGTTTCGTGCCGAAAAAAAATAGCACGGGTTCTCTCTTTCGGTGACACCGTGTCTCCCCCGTGTTTAAAAATATTCGCGCACAGCCGCGGTGCAGGATGACGCCGTTGCGGATTTAGAAGAGAGAAACTTAACCTTCCCGCAAGCTGGACGCCGGGATCGATTGTAATACAGTCTTCTTAACAGCCGGCTGACACTGGCTCGAAGACATGGATTACCGGTCTACTGGTACCAGGTGCGAGGATGACTCCCTGGAGAACGAGAAAGGAATCGGTGCTGCGGTAAGGGATGCACATCCTTCTATCGTGCTTACGTCTGCGTGATTCGACTGTTCGACACGTCCGTTTCGTTGCTGATTTCACGGTCGCGTTATCGTTTGTTACGATTAGAGATGGCTAGAACTGCTACTTGAGAATCGCTCGTGATTCGATCACGTTCATTCTCAATCACGATGATTTTTCACAATGAGTGAATGTGAAATTCACATTCGTGATTTTTCGTGATCGCTTCTCATTGGTGAAGAACATAATTTCAGGCTAAATGTAAATGCACCGTAATGAAAAACACCCTACCTGTATATTTTACATATATTCTACATAAGTATGTAATTAACGACATCAAAACAAAAATGCGAATTACCTGCACCGCATGAGATAAAGTAAAGTAGAGAATAGTAAATAAAGGAATGCTTTAATGAGGAACAGTGAAGAGTAATGAATATAAGTCGATAATTATGAATTGCAAGTCTTAGTATAGTTGTAAGTGTCTTTAGACTTTTACAAAATGTAACACTATTAGAAAATAATATATAATTAATAATATATAATATATAATTAATAGATAAAACATAATACGAATACTATAAATAAAATACAAAGAACAAAATAACAATGGGATAAAATATATATAATAACGAATAAGTAACTATTTATTGCTTTTCAAGAATAATAGCATAGATAGTTGCTATTAAATGACCTACTTATTTACTTAATAAAGGAAATTGAAATTGATATTATACAGGGTGTCCTAAAAATGTTATAACACCTTGAAAGAGGTGGTTCGGGAGGTGATTTGAAACAACTTTTTTTTTTTAGCGAAAATATTGTACGAGGCTTCGTTAAGGAGATATTAAAGAAAAATACTGACTAATCAGAGCGCGCGAATGCCGATGGAGCGAATGCTACGCGCTAGGCGATTGCGCTCATACGCTACCGCGAGCGCTCCACCGGCATACTCGCGCTCTGATTGGTCGGGGAGCGCGGCCGCCTCGTGCTCTGATTCGTCAATGTTTTCCATTAATATCTCCTCAACGAAGCCTCGGACAACATTTTCGCTAAGGAAAAAGTTATTTCAAATCACCTCCCAAAGTACCTCTTTCAATGTGTTACAACATTTTTGGGACACCCTGTATACGGATTTTTTATGCAAACTATGTATATCGAAACATTTTATAAAAAGTGATTTAATTGAGACTAAGAATTTCGATCACGCTATTCTAGCAAGATAAAAGAACCACGATTCAGGGTCTTGTATGAAATTAAATCACCATCGTGATCGTGATTTTGCGCTTTATTATTTATCACTGTGATAAATAACGTTTAATGATTTCGCACGCCATCTCTAGTTACGATTTCGTAACTATACTTTTTACGTGTTCTTCGTAGTTCCTGTAATTTCTCCGCTCGACGACTGCGTACCACTGTCACGTGTGTTTCTTTTTTATTTGCCCGATGCAGTACATCTTTTTCGCCCGCTTCGTTTGCCCACGAAGATTAGCGACAACCGTGACGTCACGCTAGGAGGTTCGCGCACCGAAACGATTATGATAAATCGCAACATCTACGATTAATGTGGAATTGAACGTAGTGACTCGTGGTTGAGATGTTGTAAATAATGTTGTAATAAACAATGTTGTAAATAAGTTTACTGAAAAGACGGTGAAAGAAACCCACGTGTGGAAATTATTTTTCTTTGATTTTTAAGTTCAAATGGAACTATCTATTAGGGTCTCTTTTGTATACTATGCGATAGGTCTGATGACAAGATACTTATTCTTGGTAATATATAGTTTGAAACGTTGAAATTGTTTCTTTTTTTTAAATATGTGAGTTGCATCCTTTTATGAAACACTATGGGTGGGAGGACAAATTACACGAGTCGATCATTTTACTAGTTCAAATGGAACTCTCTATTGAGAGTTACATGAATGTTAGGGTCTCTTTTGTGTACTGTGCGATAGGTCTCATAACGAGATACTTATTCTTGATAGTACATAGAGTTTTAAATGTTGAAATTGTTTCTGTTTTTTTTTAAATATGTGATAATGTTGTAAATAACTTCACAGAAAAGCCGATGAATGAAACCCACGTGTGGAAATTATTTTTCTTTTCTTTTTCAGTGGACTTGGACTGTTTCTTTTCTTTTCTTTTTCAGTTTAAATGGAACTCTGTATTGAGAGTTACATGAATGTTAGGGTCTCCTTTGTATACTGTAGGCCAGGTCTCATGACGAGATACTTATTCTTGGTAATACATAGAGTTTGAAGCGTTGAAATTCTTTCTTTTTTTTAAATATGTGAGTTGCATCCTTTTATGAAACAATATGAGTGAGAGTACAAATTACACAAGTCAATTATTTTACTAGTGGTAATATTTGGTAGAGGTATTATCAGAGGTGTTATTTATAAATAATCTTCTTCAATGTTATGACGTTCCTTCATGAATTTAGGACACAGAGGCTCAAGACTGGGTATTGCTATTCCAAACTGTATATTGTAAATATTGTGACCAAAAAAAGAATATACATGTAGAATTGACCAACCTCCTTTTCGAAGTCTGTTAAAAAGTGTTAATCGAGACCCACATATTGACATTTTTGTTGTTTAATTCCAAATGAAACTCCATTGAGAGTTATATGACGTTACATGAATTTCTGCATGATGTTAAAATTCTTCTTATGTACTCTGTGTTAGGTCTTATGACAAGATACTTATTCTTGTTTATACATAGTGTTTTAAACGTCTATAAGTCTGTTTTATTTTTAAATGTGTAAGTTGCATTCTTTTTTTGAAACACTATACGTGAGAGCACAAATTATAAAAGTTAATCATTATTCTACTGTTGATGTTTTAATAGATTTTAGTAGATTAACCTGTTCACTTGATTACCTATTATCATTTCTAGATAATCTTTCTCAAAATTATTACATTCCTTCATTGATTTAAAACATGAGGACTCAGAGTTGATAAAAAGGTGATCGAAAACCCACTTGTTGAAATTTGGTTTGTTATTTGTTTAATTCCAAATGGTATTCTTTATCGACAGTTACATGACATTAAATAAATTTGTACTCGATGTTGGGGTTTTTCCTCTTTGCTATAAGTTAATACAAAATACTTATTCTTGGTAACATAAAATCATCTTTGGAAATATAAAAGTTAAATCTCCCAACAAACTATTACGATTACAAAAAATGTTTTTACAGAAATTATTTAGTGCAAAGAGACAAACTATATAAAGTAAACAATTTTGTTGCAAGCAAAGTAGTGGGACAGATTTAATAAACAAATATACTTTTTAAAATGAAACCTTCTATATTCTTATCAATTATTTTTATCCTTATATATGCATGTTATATACTTTATATCTTATAAATATTATATATCTTTATCAATAATTTTTTCTTTTATCTTTATATACAATTAGACAAAATTATTTAAACAATTATATAATAATTTTAAATAGTTTCAAACAAAGTGGTACAAAGTATCTTTGTCAACCATGAATATCGTAGGAAAACTATTACAAAATAACAGAAACAATGAGTAACTGTTCTATTATTTCCCATATCGTTGGCTTTAATAGCTACAGCATTAAAGCATAAGTTAATCAAATTAACCATAATTAGTTTGCGTCAATTACGCGTTAATTTTTACATTAATTTGAATGTGCAAGAAACTACAAAATGCAAACACTATGCAAGAATATAAAAAAGATTGAAAGTAACGTTCATGTTGTAATATTTGCAGAATAAAATAAATTCGTATTTAGGTTCAATTTTTGTAGACACTTTCAGAAAGGTTTTTTTTTGCATAAAGATCCGCAGTCTAGTTATGACATAGATTTCCATTTTCTTCTATTATTCTTGCTTTCCTTTTGTTCGTTAGAATCGTTTTCGTCGCCGCGACACTGTCGTGGTACGAAAAGCAGAGGAAGTACGTCGATTTGGGAACGCGGTTGCTCTATTTCTGGAGTTCGAATCGGGTTACTACATGCTTTTGAACTTCCACCTTCTTTGCGGCGTTATCTGTTGCACGTAATTAGCTAGATAGATCACTGCGCGACGATATATCGATACGTCGCGTCTAATCAAACATGCGATATTATCTTTCCTCCACGATATTCTACGCAATTTATAACCGATTCTCTCTATAATTGAAATTTATCTATCAAACCATGAATCACCGTTAAAAAAAACATGTTATATCTTACAAGCGTACGATAAGCAATTTTCATCGGTAACTACCATCATCACTGATTAACAAAATTGAAAACCTGGCCTGCTAAAATCGAAAATCGCAATGATAATTTTTTTATGGATAGGTTTTTTTAATATAAATTTTTGAATTTTTTTCGATTTTTTTCTGAGATACGTTATGTATTTTTTTAATATACGTGTCTTTATTGGATCCACCATTTTGAATTTTCCAATTCTCATACTAGATTTGAAGTTAGTTATGAAGATCTAATAACTTTTTAATGTACATGTCAGCGATATTGGATTCACCATTGTGAATTTTGAAATTCTAATGTCATATTTGTAATTTGCGGCCCAAGTAATTCGTCCATACCAAGTTTCATGGAAATCTAATAACATTAGTTTAAAAATAAAAAAAAAAATGTACATTCGTTGGCATAATTGTTTGGCTATGTATTTTGGCCTGCTAAACTCGAAAATCGCAATGAAGAATGTTTCCATGGATAACTTCTTGTTATATGAATTTTTGAATTTTCTTTCGATTTTTTTCTGACATAACTTCATATTTTAGACCATATCTTGAGTTAGAAACGTCCGATCGAGTCGCGCACGATGACATGTGCAAGAACTTTTTAATATACGTGTCTATATTGGGTCCACCATTTGGAATTTGGCAACTTTCACACTAGATTCGAAGTTAGCACCCCAAATAATTTATAAATGCCAAGTTTCATGTAAATCTAATTATTTTGTACTACACATGTCGGCCATATTGAATTTTGCAATTCTGAGCCAAATTTTGTATACAATTTTCGAACTGCAGCCGCCAAACTTTCATTACTTTAGAAATATTGTTCAATAATGAAGACACGTTGTTGTATCATATAACGTTCCAGTTTTGCTAATCCTAAACTCTCAGCTGCCATATTGTTCTTCTCTCAGGATTGCCAACAATTTACTGCAAACATGGCGGCAAATTCAAATCTTACTTTAATTTTGGTACACCATTTACAATTTCATTAAATGTCTTCTTAAAAATGCCAACATAAAAATACATGTACCCTTACAGTACGACTAAATGTGTGTGCAATATCCCGATTCAAAAATTATTTATGGGTTTAAAAACCCTAAACATAATGCTCAATCTGCGACTATACAGGGTGTCCCAAAAATGTTGTAACACTTTGAAAGTGGTGGTTCGGGAGGTGATTTGAAACAACTTTTTCCTTAGCGAAAATGTTGTCCGAGGCTTCGTGAAGGAGATATTAACGGAAACCTCGGACCAATCAGAGCGCGAGTATGCCGGCGAAGCGTCCGCTGATTGGTCAGTGTTTTCCCTTAATATCTCCTTAACAAAGCTTCGGACAACATTTTCGCTAAGGAAAAAGTTGTTTCAAATCACCTCCCGAACCTCTCCTTTCAAGGTGTTACAACATTTTTGGGACATTCTGTACATACAGAGTGGAAGTGATTTGAAACAACTTTTTCCTTTGCGAAAATGTTGTCCAAGCGTTCGTTATGAAGATATTAAGAGAAAACCCCTACCAATCAGAGCGCGCGTATACTGTTGGAGCGACTAGGCGGCCGCGCTCATACACTACCGCGAGCGCTCCATCGACATACTCGCGCTCTGATTGGTCAGGGAGCGCGGCCGCCTCGCGCCCTGATTGGTCAGTGTTTTCCGTTAATATCTCCTCAACAAAGCCTCGGACAACATTTTCGCCAAGGAAAAAGTTGTTTCAAATCACCTCCCGAACCATCTCTTTCAAGGTGTTACAACATTTTTGGGACACTCTGTATATGATAATATACAGTGTATACACATATCACATATATCATAAAGACTGTATAAGAAGTTCCAACTGTGTAGTGTAGAAGTGTTATCTAAATCCCGAGCTTTAGTGTAGCTGCCCTCCGTAAGGGTTTCTTCTGGGGGGACCCCTCTATTTTCCTGATATTTAAAATTTTCAACCGATCCCACTCTGATTTGCGTACCATTGTTATTTCTTAAAATATTGCGTCCCTTGTTTATAAGTTTTGTTGCTTCGTCCCTATGTCTTATTCTTCTGTTGTCTCTTTCTGAAATTGGAATTTCGAAGTTTTCTTGATATCTGTCATTCCAATCTTCGTCCTCTTGTGGAGGCCTCCATTTCGCTCTATATTTGTTTTTGTTGAAAGGAATTTCCAATTTGTTCTGGATTTTCTTTCCCAGATAACGTCTATAAGCTTTTTTATTACATCTTCTTCATCGAGTTTCTTAAGTTGTTGGATTTTGCGTATATTATTATTCCTTTCGAGGTAAGCTTGTTTTTTAATGCCCTTCTCCTCGTGGTAGAGGCTACCAAATTCATAAACTATTTCTTCCTTGGGAATCCTTCCGGTTTCGAATTCTGATAAGGGACCGAAATGGCGGAACTCGTCTTTGGGAACGTTTTCGTAATTGTTCTCTTTTCGTTCTTATATTAGCGTATTTTGGGTTGCATGAGGGCTCATTCGAAATAGGAAGGTCCAACGAATGGTGCTGTAGTCATCATTTGACTCACGAAATCCGTTTAGTATCCTAAAAATACTTCCATTACGCGGATGCGTGTTTTGCTCGACTTTTGTTCGACTTTAGACCCTCATGTTACGAAATATCAACACAATCTCGTTCAACCATGACCAGAGCACCCTCCGTTGGACCTTCCTCTTTCGAATGAGCTCTGATTCAGCCCAAAATATGCTAATATAAGAACGAAAAGCGAGAAATCGCGAAAACGTTCCCAAACACGAGTTCCGCCATTTTGACGATAATGCAGAGCAAGTTAAGTGCCAAATTTAGTTCAGGAAATGAGATGGCGCTTACTGCTAACGTGAATATCGATACATTGCGACGTTGTCATTCCGGCATAACAGCCAACATACGGACGAAATGCGAAAAATCTCCATTTTTCTCGGTAATGTCACCTCGCTGTATTACCCGTGTCTTCCCCCTGATAAATTCACAAGATTCCCAACTGTTCTTGCTCCCGAGTGATTTCCATTGACGTTGTTTCAGAACGACCACAAGGGAGCGTCTAAATGCGGTGGCTCGCACACGCGCGGAACGGCGATGTCGTTTGGTTTCCGACGAAGACCCACCTCCGGGATACCGATGCCGATAACGAGTTACGCCACAGAGGCGACGATGTTCCACCCGCGCTCGAAATCAGCCGGCCCGGAGCAGAACCGGAGACGCGACGAGGACAACACCTGCGCGATGCGTAACTCGTCTTCCGGCCGATCGACGCCTCGGCTGGCGCCACCGAAGAAAGAGTCCACCGGAATCGCCGTCCGGACGAACCGCTTCGGTTACAGGCAACCGCAGCCGAAATTCACGAACAAGGTCGGCGACATCTGTAGCAGTCACACGGCGAGTCATCACAACCAGGAAAAGCTGCAGCAGCAACAGCAGCTGGACAGTTTCGCCAAGCAGCAGCACAGGGTGGTACAAGTGTGCAACGCGACGGCGCCTTCGAAGGCGAAGCAAACGCAAATTCCAAATACCCAGTACACCAACGCAAACAGCAACTACGTGGACGGCAATCGGCGGCCATCGAACATCCCGGAGTCGTTCGGCAGGTACACCCTGCACACCAGTCACCTGCCGTTGCCTCAATACGCCGTAAGAATGACCGACGCGAACTCCAAGGTCGCGAAAACCGCAGCGAACCAGAGCAGGAAGGTTTCTGCGGCGTCGAAGAGCTCAGCGAGTTCGAAAGAAGGCTCCAGCACGGAGGATTCCGGCGTGGGGAGTCAGCAGGGTTGTCCTGGCGAGATCGAATCGAGAGGCGTTGATTACGCGGACGGATCGTTGGCGAGGAGACGCACCATAGGCAGACCTAGGAACTTGAGGATGGTCGTGAACGGGAAGAGCTTCGATGTCAGAGACGTCCGGGATGACGATAGCACGGTCACCGAAATATCCGTTATATCGTTGCCCAAGACGTTCACGGCTACCACTGGTTTGGTGCGGGAAAGAACTAGCCAGTACCAGAGGATCGTTAATAAAGACAACAGGTACACCGAATCGACCACGTCCATGTCCACCACGTCCTCGGAGGGCTACGACGAAGGTTTAGGCGAGGAGAAGGTTTATAAAGATAGATCACATTCCGAGAAGATTCCTTCGATTAAGTCGGACTTCAGTCCACCGAGTTCGGACGACCCTGAATACGGTCACGGGGAGGCGATGGCTGACGAGTACTCGTTGAGCTCCAGCGACGAATGTCATCGTTCCGGTTCGATTCAACACGCGGAGACCGTTTCCCACACGGCTAAGAACGGAACCTTGCCGAAGACTAGTCTGCGTTCCGTGCTTCTCACCATCGAGGATCCCGCGTTTGCCGCAGCTGCAGCCACGTCCACCACCTTGATAGATGATGAGACGTCCCCTGTCGACAGCCTCTTCGACAGTCTGACGGCTAGCATCACGCAGTCGGATGTTAAAGCCGCGAGGAAGGACAACGCGGCGGAACAGTGCGAACAGGAAGACGACAGCCCTGGGACCCCGACGAACGCGTCGAATTCGTTGAGTTTGTCGGAGGGTAGGGAATTCTTCGACGACGAGATCGCTGATCAGCCTGGGCTTGTTTTCGATGACATCTCGAGGACTGTTGGAGACCCGCATTCCGCCATGGCTAGTCAGGCACACACCGAGAACAGCCATACTTTGATCGAATCCAGTCCTAAGACAGGTACTGACGAATGGGATTCGAGTCTGTTCGAAGGGTGCTTGTGAACATTTATGGGCTTTTATCAGGATCCATTTATTGGTTAAAGATATGAGAGATAACACTAGTTTACAAAATAAAACAAACAAAAATGTACACTCAATGCCACAATTTTTATCTTATGTATTTTGATCTACTAAACTCGAAAATCGCAAGACAACATTTTTCTATGGATAGGTTTTTTTATACGAATTTTTGAATTTTTGTTTCCATTTTTTTCTGACATATCTTCTCATTCTAGGTCGTATCTCGAGTTAGAAACCTCCGATCGGGTCGCGCACAATGACATGTGCAAGAACTTTTTAATATGCGTGTCTATATTGGACCCACCATTTTGAATTTTGCATTTCTCATACCAGATTCGAAATTAGCGGCCCAAATAATTTATAAATGCCAAGTTTCATGAAGATCTAATAACTTTTAAATGTACGTGTTGGCCATATTGGATTCGCCATTTTGAATTTTGAAATTCTGATATCATATTCGTAATATGCGGCCCAAGTAACTCGTACATACTAAGTTTCATGTAAATCTAATAACTTTTTAATATACGTGTCGGCCATATTGGATTCCCCATTTTCAATTTTGAAATTATGCTATATAAATAGGAAAAAAATACAAAAACAAAGTAAAATTGGAATTTTTGTACCTTTACTCAATTGTTCCTAACTCTAGCATTTATCCATAGAATTTCTTCAACAAAAGCTTGTTTTCTTCGAAAAAGTGCGATCTATACGTAGACAATAAGAAACTGGACATAATTTGACAATTTCTATTTTTCCATGGCGATGGAAGAAATATTCGTGTTCTATTTTAACCGAAAAAATTAAAGTTTCTCATATATATTGACTCGTAACACTTAAACTATTGAACCGTTTGGAAAATAATGTAAAAAGTAATTGTTGGAAATTCGATTACCTTTAAAATGGCGTCTTGCGCGATTCAATCAGACGTTTCTAACTCGAGATATGGCCTAAAATGTTAACTTATATCAGAAAAAAATCGAACAAAAATTCAAAAATTCATATAATAAAAACCTATCCATAGAAAAATTTTTTCTTGCGATTTTCGAGTTTAGTAGGCCAAAATACATAAGAAAAAGATTGTGGCATTGAATGTACATTTTGCCTGTAAACTAGTAATAATTGACGAGTCCTTTGGTAGATTCTGATGATTTTATTCTTTCTGCCAGAGATGGGCGAACCCCTAGTTTTCGAATAAATCTGAACTTTACCGGCATGTTTGTCTCGTTTCCTCTTTTGAATATTTTCCAAAGAAGGAAACGAAACAAACATATCTGCAAACTTCAGAATTATCCGAAGCCTAGGGTTTTGCCCATCACTGCTTTCTACTTAACAATTGTACGTATAAAAAAAAGAACAACTTTAAACAAAGACATGGGTCTCGTAATTCAATTTCGTATAATAACATTCTGTGGTATCACCAATGCTATTGAAAATATTCAATTATCTGGTACATACTGCACAAATAAACGAAATATATGAAATAATATGTTATAGATGTAGACTGCTTGCTAAATTATTAATTAACTATAATACAGATAACAGTAAGTTCAGTTTATTTTGGATTATTATAAAAGAATTTTGTCTTTGCTAATAGAAAAATATGCGGGAAGAAAAAAGGCTTGTTTTGGATCATTTGACTTGAAAGAGGACTTGTGAGTAGTTGAAATCTTAGAAATTCAATCTCCAACGATTAATAAATCGTTGATAAAATATTAACCCTTTGCACTCGAAAGGTGACTCTCAATCACCGTTAGGCTTCACTCAGTAAATCTACAATACCTAATGTTTCTTTAGGTTTAATTTCTTTATAGCTCGAAGTGTCAATACAATGATTGTCAGTGAGGTAAAGGTGACCTTATTCTCAAATCTAGATAGCTTAGAATTCATGGCAATAAAATTCTAAGAAACATCTCGAGTTGCTGGCAGATACCAGAAAAAAAGGCCTCGAATGCAAAGGGTTAAACCGCTAAGTTTCATGTAAAATCAAAGTTCGCTAATGAAACACCAGAGGCCTCTAACTGTAATATAAGTAAGAACTCTTTCACCTATATTGCACAAAAGAAATGATTCTGAGAAAAGTCCCATATGTTTGTCAACACTCTGTAAATATACGCTAATTATTCATTATTCTGATTAGATATTGGTAACAAGCCTATAGAGCTACCTTATTTAATAAACTATGTATATTGTAAAGTACGCAATGCTTGAAAAGCATTACATGATTTGTTTCTTGTTTATTTTTAATTCTTTTTATAATTTTATGCATCGTACATTGAATGATTATTTCTTTCAGGTACAGGACATGGAAAAAACGCAACAAACAGCCCTCATCATGGCAAACGAATAAGTCGAGCTGGCAGCGTCGACACTTTATCTCCCTGTGAATCCATTGCTTCTGATGACCTAATACTGGATTACGAACAGAGCGATGCGAGCTCCTACGAGGAACAACATCGGTTGGTATTTGATATTTTTTAACCCTTTCACAAGTAAACATTATTGAGAAATAGACATGGTTTACATGGTTTACACACACATTGTGGTAGCTTTATTTGATAAGTTTAAAAGTATTTTATTACTTTACTTTAAATAAACGTTAGAATAAAATCATATAATAAAATACGTATAGTATAGTATAGTAATGAAATAAATAAAAAAAGATAGAATTATTGATTAGTATACATAACGAAGCATGCATGTATTTGGTTACATGCTTAGCTATGCATATAGTATAGTAAATATAATATACGCAAGTACTCTACTTATACTTTATTCTGGATACTAATAAATATACAACCAAAATATATAGTCAAATATACACAACTTTATTACGTATACTGCTGAGAAATTCTATTTTATTGATTTATTTAATAATTATACCATATGTATATTATAATATTCATTCTTTCTCTTTGGAAAATTTTGTATATTATTATTTGATAGTATATTTGAAAAGGCAAAATATGATTCAATGTGCCAGACGGATACTTACTTTCATAGTGTTAAAATTCTTTTGTCGTTGAAGGATAAGAATGTTTATTAAGTGACAGTAATTATAATTGAGAGCATAATAGATCATTGCAACTGTGTATTTGTACTCTACTTGGTTCTATTTAAATTTAGCCTACAAATGGTTTAATCAATTGTATATCAGATGGTCACTCTTACGTGTTACAAAATGATTGGATCAAAACAATTAAAAAAGCAATAATTTCCTAAATATTAAATATTTCCGTTACGTTTTGCACTAACAATCAAATCAGCTTTTCATTCTTATTGTTTCTTATTATTCGTTGTTTTCTTGTGCAAAGTTTGTGTTATGAACTTGCGAACATCTTGGGCAACCTTAACATTTCAACTGAATGCTTCTGTTATATATTGACATTAATTACTATTTACTGATTTTCATTGTGTATTTCAGGGTGGAGTCAACTACTGCATTGCAGGACATGGATGACGCTGTCATTCTGTCCGAACTGGAAGCTCAAGGAGAAGAAGTGATGAGACAGTGGACTTCTTTGTTGGGTACATGTCAAACACTGCAGCAAACTAATAATTCGAATACAATTAATAACAATGTGAACAGTGGATCGGCCAATAACAATAACCCATCAACCAACGATATAGGGTGTGTATTTAAAAGTTTTATATCGCATTTAATACCTCTAACTGCTTTGTATTGATCATGGTTCAACACATGCATGCATACTTCTACGGTAGATAGGTTCGAATCGAGAACAAATTATACTAAATGTTATCTTCTAGATTTATTTATGAGTAAAATGAACCATCGTTTCGCCGCTTTAAGAATTATTTTTAACTATAGGTTAGTAGTCCAAGAAACGCACAATTGTTTATAGCTTGGGAAACGCTTCTTTTACGTTTCGTTTTATGTATTTACATTATATGTTGCTTAGCTGTTTGTTATTATACACGTTAATAGGTATTACCATACGGTATAAATAAGAGTGATAAAAACGACTTGTATCTTTTCCATCGAACGTTCAACATAATGGCTAAGAATATAATTAAATGTAGAACAGAAACGATTAATTCGTTATTCTACGTCTGCTTTAGATGTTATATATTCGCTAACATTTACGAATAATCGGAAATAACATTTGAAAGATAATCACTTCGTAATATGGATACTCCTTTGGAGCGACAATCTTTTTAACTACTTGAATTCTTGCACAGTGTCCATATTATATATATAATATTATATTACACATATATTTATGGAATATCCTTAATTGAAGTTAATAGTGAATTGTATTAGTGAATTATATTACATATTATATTATATGAAGTATGAATTATTTTACAAAAATTTTGGCGTAACGGTTATATTTAATGGAAAGGTCTACTTTAATATTGTCACTATCTATTTGACAAGTATTTTTTTAACAATTTCGAATGTTACGTACTTTTGGATTTGGAAAACTTTATAAAAGTATAACTTCTTCGTTATAGTGAAGAAATGAGTAGGAATATTAACAAGTTTACCTCCTGTACAAGAAGATAAACTATACAGATTTTGCTATCATTAGAAAAGTTATTGTTTAATTTTTAGGATTTGTAAGGTAAGTTGTATAATATTACACATAAATGTCACAGTCTGTAATTATTAGCTGGTTTTAATAAGCATAATGTAGAAAATTATTTTGGAATAAGGTTTCCACTAAAAGGTGTAACAACAAGTTTTTCTTTACCAACACTTATTTAGGTATTTCAACGATAGTTATGAATAATCTTTATTTAATATACTCTTTTAATTCATTTTAAATTAGAAACATCTCCTATACGAAAGTTTTCACATATAAAAAACTTTTTTAATTACTTCCAATTAATCTAATAAAATTCTTAATAATTACAAGACTATGTTTTTTCATGTAAAACTGTTTAAAACTCGAAAATTCAAATAATAGCATAAAAACTTAATACTGAAATTCAAGATTTGAATTGTGAGAGGTGAACTTTTCTAATAATGATTTGTAGGTTCTAAGTACAACAAGATACAATTTCATGCAACCACTTTAAATACTACAAATAATGGATAATTCATTGTAGTAATTAATTTAATTTTTCTTAATTTCAAGACCAACAAAAATATAACAATAAATTAAAATTTACAAGTTTTTCTTTTAAACACTGAATGTAATGAAAATTGAATATTTTTTAATAAAAGAAATGAAATAAAATAATTTAGCAGGAAGTTAATAGTTTTTACTAATATTATTATCGATGATACTATTTATTAACTACTTATCAACAACACAAATTTAAATAATGTCTCAAGCGTAAATGATTACGTATACAAACTGTGAATGAACCAAAGTTTCTTTTTGCATTGTGTCTCCATCTGAATTAAATGGAATCGCTTTAACGAGCACATTTCTGAAATATGTCAGGGTTTGAGATATGCGCGAGACATTGTTGTATGGCGTCTATTCATCCATACAAAACCGCGTCTGCATTCCAGACATCGAGACTTCTCTCTGCTAGCGAGATATTTCAGTCGACCGAACGTTCGTGTCAAAATCAATAGCTTCGTAGAAATTAAATACTGTCATATGCTTAGGGATGTGAGATGGATATTGGAAACATTTAATTATGAACAAATATTAATGATGGAGGGATGTAGAATTTTATATTATTTGTACCTTAATGAAATATTATTAAATTTATTTGAATATGTAGCTTCTTTGGTTTTATAACGAAACATTATTTTGTTATTAAATATTCTGTTGTGTTTTTGTGTTTTTATGGGATTTAATTCTTCGCTATTTAAATATATTTACTGTTAGGCAATTAAATTAATATAATTTCTAGACAATTTAATTAGAAGTTTCCTGTTTATTATTAATATAAGTGATTCTTTTTAATAATAATTTCTTATTTTAGCAATATAAAAATAGTTCTTAAATATTTTACAGGATATCCCATACTAGTCTTTCCCTATAACTATTTCTTACTAAAAGAACTGTTCCAGATAAAACATACTCTACTTTGAGAGGGTTCATCTTGTAGTCTGTGCACAATTTTGTTCCAAGTGAAAGCATTTCTGAGATTTCATGATCACCCAATCTTTTTTCAAATTAAACTATATGCAGTATTTTAACTAAACATGGAGCTTATAGATTGACAAATACAGCGACCTATAATATGTAAGTCATTCAAGGTCATTCAAGGGCAACACGCAGAACCTGATACCTGTATCTTTGCTGCAATGAATGCTGTTACTCTAAATAAGGAAATGAGGTAGTGCACCAGTTTCTAACAGGATCATTGAATCTGTTAGCTCTCGAATTTTTTCTATGGAATCGTCTAAATAATAAAATTTATATATTATGAGGTAACTGTATTTGTTAGTAAACAAAATTCATATTCATTTAAATATGTTCAAGAATATAATTAGAAACATAAGTTTCAAAAAGTTAAGGTGTGGTTTTCAGAAAGATTATTTAAAATATTAAGGCACGGAAGCTAAAATAGTGAAATTTATAGTAAAATTTATATATTATAAGGTAATTGTATTTATTAGTAAACAAAATTCATATTCATTTAAATATGTTCAAGAATATAATTAGAAACATAAGTTTCAAAAAGTTAAGGTGTGGTTTTCAGAAAGATTATTTAAAACATTAAGGTACGATAGCTAAAATAGTGAACGTTGATATTTTTCAAGTGCCTCGACTTGAAACAAAAACACGCAAACAACAATGGCTACAAGATAGCCCACTAGGAAAAGTGTAAGTTTTGCTGTAAACATCTCTTTGATGAAATTATAATAAATATAAACAAACGTTTGCGCCAGACATCTGTTTAATACCCATTTCTAATAATTATAAATAGACTGCGGATTTTTATGCATTTATAGGAAATTTGAATGTGCAAGAAACTACAAATTGCAAACAATATGCAAGAATATAAAAGAGATTGAAAGTAAAGTTCACGTTATAATATTTGTAGAATAAAATAAATTCCTATTTAGGTTCAATTTTTGTAGACGATAGTCTACAGTTTGTTCGCAAAGATTTTATTTTGCATAAAGATCCGCAGTCTAATTATAAGGATACAATTTTTAGAGAATAACTTATTTTACTTCATTAATACATCGTACTATTAGGTTGTCCCCAAAGTTTCTTCCATGACTTGCACTCAATTATTTTCTGTGGCAGTGTTTATATAAATAGACAACCTAATTTATTAGATGTTAATATTGTATAACAGTAATGGAGCAAAATGAATCGTACGCAATTTAATAATGTAACATTAGACATAAAATATTGTGTACGTATTACTTATTAATGAAATGGAAGAAACTTTTGGGACAACCTAATACTTTTTCGTTTAAGAACTGATAGACTATAATTTGAGAAACACTGGTTCAAACGATCCCATGCTATCGCATTAACAGGCTAAAATACACCTAACCTACATAACTTTCGGTAATACAGTGCCTGAAATTTCCATAAAGCCACCACGTTGTTTGCTAATATCTTATAATTATTCTATACTTATGATAAATTTGAGTATGATTTCATTTTAGGCGTATTAAGAACACATATATATAGATTGAAAGAATAGAAATAATATTTATTTAAAGAAATATTATTTCTATTATTTCAATCTATATATACAGGGTGTCCCAAAAATGTTGTAACACCTTGAAAGAGATGATTCGGGAGGTGATTTGAAACAACTTTTTCCTTAGCGAAGATGTTGTCCGTGGCTTCGTTGAGAAGATATTAACGGAAAACACTGACCAATCAGAGCGCGCGTATACCGTTAGAGCTGCCGCGGTAGCGAAGGCTTCGAGCTAAGCGGTCACGTCAATGGCCTTCGATGCACGTTGAGTCACTTGTTCACGTATAAGCGCGGCCGCTTAGCTCGTAGCCTTCGCTATCGCGGCCGCTCCACCGGTATCCGCGTGCTCTGATTGGTCGACGTTTTCCGTTAATATCTCCTCAACAAAGCCTCGGACAACATTTTCGCTAAGGAAAAAGTTGTTTCAAATCACCTCCCGAACCACCTCTTTCAAGGTATTACAACATTTTTGGGACACCCTGTATATGTGTTCTTAATACGCCTGAAATGAAATCATTGTGTCCACTATCTTCAATAAATGGTATTAAAATTGTGTCTCATAATTCTGTATATTTTTCAGAATTCATTTTAGAAGTAATGCAACAGATTGGTGCCTTGATGGCAGGTTTAAATGCAGCTCAGATCATTAATGTACCACTACCAAAATTGCGACTCATTGTTATGTCTTTTTTTTCCCTTAAATCATGCCAGCAATATTTAAAACCATCTGGCCCGCCTACATTGAATTTCTTTTCGTCAGAAAAAATAACAAATTCCCATTGTTTGACCAGGACATGTGTGCTTGGCAAAATCAAGACGAGCCTGTTTGTGTTTGACTTTGAGTGCTGGTTTTTGCACCATTTTTGTCCAGTGGAATCGTTTGGAATTTTTTAAAATTTGCTGTATACATCTTGTAGTTACTGGCAAATTTCATTCAACGCAAAATTGTGCTGCACTTCTAAATACTCTTGATGCAGATCTCATTAATAATGAATGCTGACTCTTGGTCAGCCTTTTATTTAAATTCACCCCTTTGGGACGGTTTTTCCCCTAATCTTTTCCTAAATTTACATAATTATTTACAACGGTACGTGATAGGTTAATTTTTTTTGCAATTATGCGATTAGAACATCCCATATCCCTATAAGCATCAATGGATGCCTTTTCTTCACTGGTTAACAATTGTCCTCGTGGCATTTCACTAGTAAGAAATTAAAATATAAAATATTACCATTTCAATAAATTTACAGATAAATTTTTATGCAAATACACAAATTACTTTTTTATTGGAGTTTCACATCATTTATGGTACCTAGCTGGACTTCTTAACTCAAAATCTAAGCACAAACTAAGTGGTCTTATATGTAGAAATTTCGCACTTACAGTGGGTGTAGCAAATATTCGTACACCAATCAATTTCCAAAATAACTATGTAAAATTGTAATTTATTATCTTATTTTTTGTAAACAATGACATTCTACATATTCTTAAAAATCTCTAGAATAGATAGATTACAACAAAAATAGTTATTTATGTAAGTTGCGAAATGAACAAGAAAAAAGAAACAAGTAATCGATAGAAATATTGAAGCAATAAGTATTCGCACAACTGTTTCATTCTTAAAACTTCATTAAAAAGAAAAGAATATATATATTATATTATATTACAAGTATATAACACTTCCTTCGTAGGGATTTCCGTTTGATTTTATAATTATTGTAATCTTCTAAGCATTAAATTAACTAAATTATTAGTTTTTCGAAGTGGGATCTTGTTTGATTCTTCTATTAGAGCCATTTTTAAAAGCACTTTACTGGAAATTTGATGTTTTCTAACTCGTACGGAGCAATAAACTAATGTCTTTACGTTACAAACTCTACTGTAAATGGTTCGTCATAAGAATCGTAGAAATTACACACTTTTCCCATTTTTTTTGTTAATTTCACAAATTACATTAACTAGTAAATGTTGTTTGGACTATATCTATCTTAGAGACTTCCGAGAATATGTAAAATATCATTAATTATAAAAAGCAAAGTTTAAGAAACTACAATTTCACACAAAAGTTTTTTGGGAAATTGATCAGTGTACGAATACATTCTACACCCACTGTAAGCACAAACTAAGTGGCCTTATACAAATTTCCCACTTATATTTTGCTTCGTACAGCAAATAATGTAAACACAAAAACTGTAAATTAAATATAATTGTAGATGAGAAAAAAGTAGTAAAGTTAAAAATATTTTTTAAAAATTCGTCAAAATATTGGGTGGCTTTATGGAAATTTCGGGCACTGTAATTGCAACAAAGAGTATTATTATATTAGATGCTTTAATGCCAAGCTATTATTTACGAGAAGAGGCATTCCAACGTTATTATGCATTCGAATTTGGCGCGCAGTTCGATATCCCTTTCCTACCTAGCGGCTAGCTTTCTCCTCATTGGCTGGCTCGCGCCAGTGTCATGGCGGAGCCGGCAATTCGAGCTTGAAACGCAACGTTAGTAACGCGTGTGCGCTCCTATCGTTCGCATTGGTTCGCGTCACTCGTTCGGGGTTCGTTCTTAGTTGTGTCGCGTTATCGCGTTACCGCGTTACCTTAATCAGCGTCGAGTGGATAGTTGTAGGAAATAGTGAAGTGTCATAACAACAGTGAACTATACAAAGTGCGAAATTGAAAAGTACCGCGTGTTTATTGTTTCACGGTCTATCGAAGACGCAGTTTCATGTCTAACATGAAAGTTTTGCCAACAAAAGAGTGTCGCGTCAGCGAACCTTCTAGGTAATTTATATATAAAATATTTATTTGTAAAGATAAGGTACATAAAAGATGTAGGAGACAATTTTAGTTACGATTATAGTAATTGTACATGGTAAGCTGCTCGTTCACGAATTTTCTTAGCGTCTCGCTCTCTCGCACGACGATCTTCCAACACCTGTCGCACTTTGTCGTTCACATTACTCGTTTGACGTACACGAAACAAAAACATACTAGGAGCCTCGCTAGTAGAGCGACAAACCGTAATATTAAATGCAAATTCGACTTTATCTAATACTTTAATCACAATCGGTCAGCAGAAAATAGAAATAGAAAATTTTGCAAGCATTAGAATTGAATAATGATGAACACGTTCCACTTGACCATTCGCACGTGGAGTACCGACGGCAATCGATACGTACGCGATAGATTCTTTTTCGATAAACTATAAACATCGATAAATTCTTGAAATGCGTTAGATGTAAATGAAGTTTCCCGATCGGTTATTATTCGCTTTGGACTGTGCATTCTAAAATAATTGCACAGGTGTTGCACGACTTCCTCCGACTTCGTTGACTCTCAAGGAAACCGAATGTATTTTGTAAACGCATCGATCACGGATCAAAGATATTTATAGATACTCGGATTTATTTTTTTCTAACGGATTATTATGGTCCTCCTTTCGGAATACTGTAAAGGTAACCTTTTTATCTTTCACACAACGGCGATAATTTAAACCGTGTAAACAGTGCTTTAATTTTTCCTCGCGTTTTAGGGAACCAATATACGCGCGCTTTGATTGGTCCGGGCTTTTCTGTTAATATCTCTTCAACGAAGCCTCGGGCAACATTTTTGTAAAGGAAAAAGTTGTTTCAAATCACCTCTACTTTGTATATACAGGGTGTCCCAAAAATGTTGTTACACCTTTAAAGGTGTGGTCCGGAAGGTGATTTGAAACAACTTTTTCCTTAGCGAAAATGTTGTCCGCGGCTTCGTTGAGGAGATATAAACAGAAAACCCCGGACCTATCAGAGCGCAAGGATGCCAGTGGAACGCCCGCGGTAGGCGTGGACTACGCTCTAGGCGACCGCCCTCCGCCGGTATACGTGTGCTCTGATTGGTCAGTGTTTTCCATTAATATCTTCTGAACGAAGCCTCGGAGAACATTTTCGCAAAGAAAAAAGTTGTTTCAAATCACCTCCTGAACTACCCCTTTCAAGGACCTCCATCATTTTTTAGACACCCTGTATAATAATATAAAATATATTTTATAATCGGATTGGACTATTTGCAAAATTAAGACACGCTATTTTTCGAATAGTTATGATGAAATATATTTTATAATTAGATTCGTCGATCTGCAAAGTTAAGACACGCTATTCTTTGAATAGTTATAACTAGACTGCGGATCTTTGTGCATTTATAGGAAATTTAAATGTACAAGAACCTACAAAATGCAAA